TCCTCCAGATATTTTTTTCTTGTTTTATTTTTACTGCTTTGGGTCCAGATTCTCTCTTGCTGTTATTTTTTGAGTCAGTTGGACGGATTTTTCCTTCATCACCGTCCTGGAACATCACTGGGCAGACGGTGACCTCATAGTGAGGCCTCTTTCTGGGACATTTCCTAGTCCTGGTTCCTGAGCCTTTGGGACGTTTGGGTTTGTGCTGCAAATCCGTGTTCCCTTTTCAAAGGGGGAGATTAATCCTGCTGGATTCCACGTTTCTGGAGCCTTTGCACTGCACAGCTTGTGCCGGGCCTGTGCCTCACGCCTGTAATTCCAGCACCCGCTTTGCAAACGCCGAGTCCTGAGTTCAAACCCCAGGATCCCCTCAATGACAAGAAAAAAGAAACAGTTTGGGGTGTCACACTGACCAAGAAAAGGAAAATCCTGTTATCTGAATAGTCTCCCCATGACTGTTTTTGTTTTTCTGTGGAGCTGCCCAAGGTTTGCTGTAAATCTTTCCACATCCCTTGCTATGTCGTGGCAAAAATAATAGCAATACAAAAAGTCGTAGCAGGCAGGCATTGACACCCCCATACCCAGGTGACATGTGCCTTGCACAAGAAATGTTTGCAAATGAAAACTCAGATCCTACAAGACTTGGAGGACAAATGATTTTTAATGAGACCTAGGAAAAAGAGAATGCAAGAGAGAGTATATTTCTGCAATGGCTTCATTCTGAAATGTTCCCAAAGGCCCTGAAGACTTTGTCACCACCTGAGGGTCATATTGGGAAGTGTGGGACCTTTGAGAGGCAGGTTCTGGGAAAGGAAATGATGTCATTGGGGGCGTGGCCTGTACAGGGATACTGATGGATTCATAGCTTAATAGGCTACAGGGAGGTTGTAGAGCCTTTAAGGGGTGGGGCCTAGCAGGCGGAAGTGACATCATTGGGGTGGGGCATAGCCTGGAAGGGAATATTGATGGGTTCATAAGCTAATGAGCTCCTGGGAGGTCGTAAAGTCTTTAGGAGGTGGGGCCTCATAGGCGGAAGTGATCGTCGTGAGGGACTGGCCTGGAAGGGGAGATTGATAGATTCATAGCTTAATGGCCTCCTGGGAAGTGGTGAAGCCTCTGGGAGGCGGGGCCTAGTGGGAGGAAGTGACATCACGGGGGCGTGGCCATGAAGAGGATCTTGGGTTCCTGTGCTCTTCCTCTCCTGTTTCTGGCTTCCTGGCTGCCATGCTCTGAGCAGCTTAGCTCTGGCCACGTGTCCCCAGCCGGACCCTCTGCCTTGTCACGGCCCCAAAAGCAATGTGCCCACACCACCACCCTGAACTGGAAGCTCTCAATTCCACAAAACAAAGCGTTTGCCTTTATTAATTGTCTCTGTGTTGGTGACAGTGACAAAAGGTGACCAACACACCGTCTTCCAGCTACGAGAAAACAAAAGGACACGAGGATTTGAGACACATATGCGAATCCCCTGGAAATGACAGTGGCCCCCATGAGCGGCTCCCGGGATGTGTCACGGGTTCACTTTCTGAGTGCCCCATGGCGGATTTCAGGAGGTCATCACCTGCTAGGGGAAGCGCCATGCTCCATCTCAGCTTTTCCAGGTCCTAGGGTTTGGACCTGGGATGTCCCCGAAGGGTCCCATAGGGACAGCGTGGTCTCCAAGGCAACAGGGCTTGGGGGGGAATTTGGGGATGAGGGGAGCATGAAGGGCCTGACCTCATCAGTGGATTCATCCATTGGTGGACCCATGGCTGATGGACTGATCCATTGATGGACCCATGGCTGATGGATTGACTCACTGATGGACTCATGGCTGATGGATTGACTCACTGATGGACTCATGGCTAATGGATTGATCCATTGATGGACCCATGGCTGAATGGATTGACTCATTGATGGACTCATGGCTGATGGATTGACCCATTGATGGACTCATGGCTGATGGATTGACCCATTGATGGACTCATGGCTGATGGATTGACCCATTGATGGACTCATGGCTGATGGATTGACCCATTGATGGACTCATGGCTGATGGATTGACTCACTGATGGACTCATGGCTGATGGACTGACTCACTGATGGACTCATGGCTGATGGATTGACTCACTGATGGACTCATGGCTGATGGATTGACTCACTGATGGACTCATGGCTGATGGATTGACTCACTGATGGACTCATGGCTAATGGATTGACCCATTGATGGACTCATGGCTGAATGGATTGACCCATTGATGGACCCATGGTTAATGGACTGACCCATTGGTGGACTCATGGCTCAGTGGATTGATCCATCGATGGGTTCATGACTTAAGTCACCACCCGATGGAGATATTGGGAGGTGGTGGAGACTTTAGGAGGTGAGACCAGTTGCAGGAAGTCGGTCAATGAGGGTGTGTCCTCCTTGAGGAAATTTTTTTTTGCCCCTTTTTCTCTCTCCCTCTCTGTTTCCCTCCCTCCTTCTCCATGTCTCTCTTTTCTGTCTCTCTCTTTCCCTCTCTTTCTTTGTGCCTCTCTTCCTCCCTACCTGTTTATGTCTTGTCTTCTCTCTCTCTCCCCCCATCTTCCTCTGCCTCTCTCCTCCACACGTTCTGTCTCCCTCTCTCTCTCTCTCTCTCTCTCTCTCTCTCTCTCTCCTTCCCTCCCTGTCTCTCCCTCCTCCCTTTCTCCTCCTATTCTCTCTGTCTCCTTCTCTCTCCCTCTCTCTCTCCCTCCTCCCTTTCTCCTCTTCTTTTCTCTTCTCTCTCTCCTCTCTCTGTCTCTCTCCTTGGCCACCATGATAAGCAGCTTGGCTCCACCGTCCCCTCCCGCCATGACATCTGCCTCGCCATGGCCCAGAAACAATGGAGCCCGGCGACAATGGGCTGTCACCTAAAGCGACTGTGTGTTAAAGTACGCACATCTACGTCGCGCAAAGAGGAAGGAAACGAGCGAGAAGGGAAAATGAGCGAGGAAGGAAGGAGGACGGTCACAAACTCAATCCACAGCGTCACACATTGTCCCCATGACTGCTGCCACCTCGTAAACCTGTGAAAAATCCCCTCGGTGGCGTCCCAAGAGGGCTTGGCTCACACTGACCTGCATTTCATTCGTTTGTTTGCTTGTTGGATAATTGATTGACTGACTGACCGATTCACTGATTAATTGACTGACCTTACGTTAACATTCACTGATCAGTGTCCATGTCATGAGCACCAGAATCCCTTGTCCTCCTATCTCCCAGACCCATAGGGAAGCCAGGTCCACTTCAGCAGAGAACCCCACAAAACTGGGGGACACGAGGCACGCTGAGGAACACAGCCAGCTGAGGGGGTCGTAGGGCCATCTTGCTGAGTGGCCGGCCATGGAGTCCACAGGGACTTTGATGCCACGTTGGTGACAGGAAACGTGTCCTCCATGACGGGTGTGCTGGATTCCGGTCATACGGCCCTATTAACATTTGGGGGTCACGGAATTCTTTGTCCTGGGGGACGGTCCAGTACATCTTAGGATTCTGATGTCCACCTGCTCCACAGAACCCCAAAACGTCACCAGGCGCGGTTTCCCGTGGGGACACATGGCGTTGTCCAACTGGGACCACCATTGTGGGGGAAAAACAAGATGGCGGACCCTGTCCTCCGTGTTTAAGATGCTGTTTCTTTCCAGGGTGTCGTTGTCACCGAGCTTTTCCAGGGAGGAAGGTGGTCATCGGTCATCGGAGGGAGGCGTCGGCCGCTCACCCTCAGGTTTGTCCGCGTGGCTGGCTGGGACCTGTGGCTCAGGCCCAGGACACAGAGACGGCGCGTGGAATATTAGCAGCCCAGGAAAAGTTCAAAGTATTTGAAATACCGTTTCCAGCGGCCGTCTGTTGACTTATTTTACGCCACGGTGACTTTTTTTTTGCATTTTATGCAATGCAGCCCCGTGTTGTGCAGAGGTGAAAACAGTTACCAAACGGCCAAGCCCTGGGTGAGGTGGACCCAGGTGGGGGCAGCTGGCTCCCAATAAAATAATCAATCTGCAGTCGGAATTCTTAAAAGGTACAAAGTTTTATTAAACAAACCTGCAATCAATAGTATTCTATGGCATAAATTAGACAGGAGGAAACGACCCTAGGGCATATATTTTTATATATATTTATATATGTTCAAGTCACAGTGATTACCCATCGTGCAGCAAGTCGACAGGGTGCCAGGGGACATCTACAAGTAGGAAGGTGACACCCGCCTGGTGCACACGGCACCCTACAGCAGTCAGTCAGTCACATACTCCCCAGAACGTCGTGACTTTTAGAGACATTTAGTGACTTAGTGACATTTAGTGACATAAATGTCACTAAAAGATGTCAGCTCTTCAATGCTTTGGGTTTTGTTCTGCAGGAAGTAGGATGAGGGAGCGTGGACTTTGACCAAGGCACGTTGATTGACTAACAAACAGAAGGTAGGTAGGGGTCCCTGCAAATGGAGCCACCCTGGGCTTGTAGGATTGGCGCACCCACGGGGGAAGCAGCCGGAGTCTGGCTGCATTTCGGGTCACCCCGGACCCAGGGGGACGAGGGAGTCCGTGCGGTGGCCTTGGGGCCGTGTGCTGGGGTCGCCAAGAACGGCCATAGTCACAGTCATGAGGTCCAGAGTGTCCAGGCAACTCAGGTGTCTCACAAAAAACCCAAAAAAAGGCAAATGCACCCCAAATCGGCCAAGCGTGCGGCTCCAGGGCCTTTTCCGTAAATAGGACTGGGCGTGGGAATCCGAGGGGAGGCCCCCTGGGCTTTGCCACGGGGCCGGTGTCCTGCGGCCCCAAAGGCGGGAACGACACTGGGGCTGTGTCTGGTGGGAAGGTGGTGGCAGTTTGTCCTCCGGGTCATTTTCCTTTATTTCCCCACTTTGCATTTTGGGGTCCTCTGAAGATTTGGGAACGGCTCCAATGAGCCAGGACCTCGTCACTCTATGGGGGTGACCTTGCAGGTTCGTTTACGGCTGGAGAAGTCCGCGTCCTATTGATCATCGTTATCGGTTATTGGTTATCGATTACTGATCACTGATTGATTGTTGGTTATCGATTATTGGTCATCGATTGACGCTCGGTGAGCGAGTGCCTTCTCACCAGGGGACGCGCGTTGCACACAACCGGCCCCAAAAGCAGCCATGACAGCATCTTGGCCGGGCAGTGTCATTTAAGAGCCCCCGGTGGGCGCCAGGGAATGTGTTTTTTATTAAAAATTGCCTGAAGAGCTCCCTGTGGTGTTTCTTTATGCATCAAATGACTTCTTTTTGCAAAAAAGAAAAAAAATGCAGGCATCAGACCTCACAGATTTGTCCCCGAGAGAGATTCTTTTGAGAAATGAAAACACAGTCCTAGGCTTTGCAAAAGTGCCCATCTTCCATCTCTGCACAGTCTGTCCTTGTACGTGGTCACACGCACACACACACTCGGTGTCGATCAACAAACCTGCACAGTTCACACTTGGAGTAAAGTCAGTGCACACACTCGGTGTCGATCAACAAACCTGCACAGTTCACACTTGGAGTAAAGTCCACCTATGAGCAAAAGCAAGAGTGCACGGGCGGGAGGAGCGCGGGGCTGCGCGGTAAAATAAAATGCACAACTGACTTTCGAAAACCTCCGGCAGGGCAGCAGGCTTCCAGTTGCTTAGAGGATGGTGGGTCCGTGAGTGTCCCGCATCCGCGAACCCCCGTGTCCACACGGATGTGCAGAAGCGGGGACGTGAGGACGCGGCTCCTCGGGGCCGGGCAGGTGCACAGCTGCAGTTCCTGGGTGAAAAGAAGACGAGGAACTAGAACTGGAAAATTTCCCAAAAATCTGGACACGTTTTCCCATAATTATCATTTTGATTTCCTTTCCGGTAAGTATCTAGATAAAATTTCTCACGTTTTGGACAAATCATTAAGAACAGGACAGCTCGCTTTCAGAAAGTGACATTGTACTGGCCCGCTTTCCTCCTCCCTGATTTCTGCTATTTGAGCGACTAACCGACGTCGGAAAAGATTACCTGGGAAACTCCAGCATTAAAAGAGGCAGGAGTTTCCGACCGTGCGCTCTACTGGACACCATGGTAACGGAGCCCACCGGGCTGTCAGTCATCTCGCCTGTCAATCAAGTCACATCTATGTCACTGGTCACACTGACTGTCTTGGTGTCACCGTTATTTTGCTTAGAAATGGCCCCAAAGGACAAGAGCAGTGACACTGGGATTTCCCTGTTGTAGTGTGTTTATTGCCAGTAACTGTCCTCTTTCCTATCGGGGCCCCACTGATGACCTAATAAGGACGCGATGACCCAATAAGGACGCGATGACCCAATAAGGACGTGATGGCCCAATAAGGACGCGATGACCCAATAAGGACGTGATGACCTAATAAGGACGTGATGACCCAATAAGGACGTGATGACCTAATAAGGACGTGATGACCCAATAAGGAAACAGCGTCCCAGCCTCTTCCATTTCTGTCCGCCATTTTTCCCCGTTTCCTTCCCAGAAAGCAATGGCAGCAATGGGAGTTCCTCAGCCGCCATCTCTCAGCGCCCACCCCCACCCTCCCTCCCAGACGTCAAGGATGCAGTCGATGAACCTATGAGACGTCCAGGCCACATAACGGAGGACGAGAATAAAAACTGAGCAGAACAAAACGCGTCGGTCAGTGAGCAGACACACCTGAGACCATTTGGGTTTTCTCTTTGCTGGCAATTAAAACGCGCAGTAAATGAGAGAGATTTAAAAAATAAAAAAAATTTTAAAAAGCAGACCTGGCCAAGGAGAGTGACTCACACCTGTAATCCCAGCCACTCGGGAGGCAGATGGAGGAGGTGACACCAGGGGTTGAGAGGGGACTGTCCTATTGTCCTTCTCTGCTTGTGCCGTAAAACGATGAGGGCGGGCCAGCCCTAATCAGTAAACGTCGTCACTCACGGCCCTGGGATGCGATCAACAAACTCCCTAATTCTGCATTTCCACCGATGGAAAACGTACCTTCCGGATGTGAGGCTGCGTCCTCAGAAGTTCTTGAAGATTTCCAAATCTTTCTCGGACACCGGAGGGGCCTCGTCCCACTCGTTTTCGGGGTACGTCTCGAAGTTGGAGGTGTCGCCATCCCCGGTCAACTTGGGCACGATTGGTGGCTGTGCGATGCGGCCAAGACAGAAAGCCCAGGTTAGACAAAGATGGCGGCTGTCGTGACACGGGGTGTGTGATGTCGCTTCTGACATTTTGCACACAGAGGGGAAGTGATTTCACAGCTTTATTTATTACTTAGGGTCTCCTTGGGATGTTGATCGACTCCTTGACGGTACCACGGGAAGTTACCATGGCTTGCTCGTCACTGTGTGTGGATAAAACTTTATTTGCAGACACAAGCGAGGGGCCAGAGGTGGCCCACAGTTTGGAGCCGGCAGAAAACTGGCTGTGTGAAGGAGCACTTCTGCGTCCCTAAAGTCATACCTTGAGTTTTCTCTGGGGGACGGCGTCCCAGTCGACGCCTCGGAACCAGCGGTGCCGTTTCACGTCCTCGGCGCCGTTCTTCGAAGGAAACGCGAGAAGAAGATCAAGAATAAAAACGCGTGCGAGTGGAGGCTTTGGATACAGAGGCCGCGGAGGGTTTGTGCGGCGGAATAGTATTCAGCCCTGAAAAGGGAACTGAGTCCTGGAAGGGGCCACAGAGAGTCCGGCAAGGGAGCAGAGAGCAGACACGCATTTTCTTACTGGGGCCTTCGGCATGGGCTGAGGGCAAGGCGTGGCCAATGACAGCACAGCGCAGTGACGGGTGACAGACGCGTCCCGGGGGAGAAGATGGCGGAACCAGTACTGACCTTCATGTTCCCCAGGCGCCTCGTCCTGTCCACCACAAGCAGCTTCCTAATGAGGTCCCTGTGGGGAGAAGGAAGAATGAGACCCCGGTACGGGGCTGAGGCCGACATCCAGGCGTCACCGGGCGCCATAATGCGTTTGTTGATCGGCTCACTGTCGTCCGCCTGGGGACAGCGAGGTCTGCTCTTGGTTTGTCACTCTCATCCCTAGAGAGAAATTCTGTTCTGGTCCGGGTGGCGGTGACACGTCACGTGTCCGCACCTGTCGGTCTGTCCCTGAAAACGAGATGTCTGTCTACAGATAGATGGATAGACAGACGGACAGATAGATACAGACAGATGGATAGACAGATGATAGGTAGGTAGATTGATGGGTGGCTGACTGATAGATGACTGACTGACTGATGGATGACTCATGACTCACTGATTGATGGATGACTGACTGCTGGATGACTGATGGATGACTGACTGATAGATGAATGACTGCTGGATGACTGACTGATGGATGACTGACTGACTGATGGATGACTGACTGATGGATGACTGATGGATGACTGACTGACTGATGGATGACTGATGGGCAGATGGCACAGACAGACGTACAGATGGCGCACACACACAGAGACAGATGAGGCAGGGATGACTGGCAGGTAGGCAGATTAAAAAGCTTGATGGCGTGTGTTTGTGCGGTGCTGAAAGACCACACAGAAAGCACACAGTGAGAGCATAATGTGTGCGCGTGGTCACAGACAATAAAAAGACGCCACGTGTTTGCGCTCAAAGTCCACAGGAGGCAGCAAGGATTGTGGACCGAGGCCAGCCTGGGGCAAATGCTTCTTGAGATCCCATCTCTAAAATAACCAGAGCAAAAATGGGCTCCAGTGGTGCGGTGCCGAAGAGTGAAGTCGTGAGTTCAAATCCCAGTCATACCAAAAAAAAAAAAAAACCCCAAAACTTGCACCCCCACAAGTGCATGGCAATGCGAGATGACCAAGATGTCACCAGGACTCAGCCAGTGTCCCAGTGGACGCCAGCCCCTTTCCACCTTGGGTATTTCCAAGATGGCGTCTCAGCAGCCGCTTTCCCGGGCTGCCCTCGAACCTCGGTCCTCCCGACCTCGGCCTCCTGCGTAGCTGGGATTACAGGTGTGGCACCGGCACCCTGCCTGTGCTGGGCATTTTCAAGATGGGGTCTCAGAAACCGTATTTCACCCCCCATTGCTGAAACTAACGAAATGCGGAATTAAGGACAGCAATATTCAGTCAACGCTCTTCCCCTAAAACGGTCCCTGAGTCGCGATTTTAGCATCAAAGCGTTAACCAGGAGAAGGACAATCGGAGCCAAGGAGAAATCACGGTTATTCGGTCTACAACCGCAGAGCTCGCTCTAATGGGACCCGGTGACAAAGCCTCTCTCTCCCACTTCAGTGTGCTTGGTGGCCGAGAGCCAGCCCCGGGTCTTTAGGGGAGAAAAAGGGAGAACACTGAAAAGATTTTCCCTTTTGTGTAGAAAAGGCACTTGAAACAGCACATTCCACAGGAAAGTCAGACAGACAGACAGACAGACACGGGTGACACACGCGTCCCCAGTGTGACTCTGATCACAAGCGTGGCAGGCGATGAGACAAGCCAGGTACTTACTTGGCCCCGAAATCCAGGTGTCTGGGGAAATCGATCTTGCCCGCCAGGATTTTCTGATAAATACCAAACGGGTTGTCATCGAAAAATGGCGGAAACCTGGAAGAAAAAGAGAAGTGCTGTTTTCAGTGCAAACGGAAGAGGGGGAAAAAGTTCTGCCCCGCGCGGGCGGAAAGTCACTCAATTCACGTGCGTCCGGCCCCTCGCACTCGGGGCCACCGTTCACAGCGACTCCCGCGAGCATATGGTGGAAAGGACAAGGGAGGGGACTGTGCCTCGGGCAGGGTACAAGTGACATTAGGTGTTCTACCAGCAGGTCCAGGGGAGGGGACAGTGGTGGCTTGGATCCGAGGTGTCCCCAAAGGGTCCCAGGGGGACGGTGTGGTCCCCAAGGCAGCAGGGTCACAGGGGGGACTTTAGGAGGTGAGAGGAGAATGAGGGGCCTGACCTCATCAGTGGATGCATCCATTGATTGACTGATAGGTGGATGGACTGATCCATCATGGACTCGTGGTTGAATGGATTCATCCATTGATTGACTATTGAAGCATTGATGGACATACAGCTGAATGGATTGATCCATTGATAGCCCCATAGCTGAATGGATTGATCCATTGATAGCCCCATAGCTGAATGATTCATCCACTGACTGACTAATAGATGGATGGACTGATCCACTGGTGGACTCATGGCTGAATGGATTCATCCATCAAGGGACTCAAAGCTGAATGGATTAATTCATGATGGATTCATACATTAATGGATTAATCCAGTGATCAATTCATAGCTTAATGGATTACTAGGAAGTGGTGAAAACTGTAGAAAGTGGGTTCTACAGTGTTCTTGGCGGTGTGTCCTTGAAAGGGATATTTTTTCTATCTGTTTATATCATGTCTGACCATTGACTGACACTCTGACACCATGAACCAAGATAACCGTCTTGTCCTTTAACGTGACTTTCTCTGGTATTTTGTCACATCCAGGGAAACACGGAAACCTGCAAGTGTCCCCTATCCACGCATGGCACCCCACAGCACAAAGAATGGCGGCTTTCTGCAGATGGGCTTGTGCCTCCGTCCCCAGGAAAGCCTCCTATAAATGTCAGAGCTCACGGCGTTTTGTGGTGCGATCAATCGCTCTGTACTGATTACATTCTTCCTAAATCCCTAACGGAATGCACACAGTCGGTGCTCAATAAATGTACGCGGGTGCCGTCATAGCCGTCGGGATCCCCATAATTTTATGGAAGCCTACGTCATAAATAAGTCAGTAGGATATTTCTGAAGGATGACTGGGACAAGTCAACATTGCTCTCTAGCTTGCGCCACGGGCAGCGAAGACCAAATCCAGGGAACGGAAGACCGCAGCCCCCAAGGACCGTAGGTTTCAGGGCTGGTGGTTAGGGTGGTCCTACTGGACGTGGGGGTCCTCATGGGACGTCTTTTGGTCATTGGGGACCCGGGACACAAGAAACACTCTCACTACTTAGCCTCATTACAACTGGAAGTTTTCATAAAATGGAAGCGAGAAATGTCACCACTGCACAAAACGGAGTTTGCCAATGACTCCCTGATTGGTGACCCCATATTTCATTGAGCGCAAATAGCTCTATTGATTTTTGATTCGATTCCCGGTTTACACGGACGAGGGTGGCCCTAGACGCAATGGCAGTGTCCTCACAAGAGACAGAAGGGGACAGGGACACAGAGGAGACGCCACGGGAAGATGGTGGCAGGGACTGGAGGATGGGGCCATGAGCCAAGGACACCTGGACCCCAGGAGCTGGAATGGGGGGACGGACCCTGTGCTGGGGCCTGAATGGGATGTCATTTGGAGATAGGAAATTGCACATGGAATGAAGGTCGTGAGATGAGGTCGCCCTGGACCAGCTGTGTCACCCACGCCATTGGGCCAGGCCGCCATGTTGGAATGTGGTCAAGATCCATAGAACTGAGGGGAATGGTGACTTTTCCAAAGCTGTGTCACCTGGGGCCTGACAATGGGGACTCATTTGGAAATAGGGTCTTTGCAGGTGGAATTAAGGATCCTGACATGAGGCCATCCTTGACCAGCTGTGTCACCCGCTCCATTGGGCCAGGCCGCCATATTGGAATATGGTCAAGCACCATAGAACTGAGGGGAATGGTGACTTTTCCAAAAGCTGTGTCACCTGGGGCCTGACAATGGGGACTCATTTGGAAATAGCGTCCTTGCAGATGGACAGATCCTGTCCTTGGGCTGTGGAGGTAGTGGCCCTGCTCCACCTGGACGTCACACATCTGCTCTCCAGGGCAGCACGGGAACATCGAGTCCACGCCAACCGTGACCTCCTGAGACATCCGTGGCCCCAGTCAGGCCTTTGTCACTTGTCACATGGTGTCTGGGTGTCACAGGGGACACTCTCCTGTCTGTCCAGGCTTGGGCGGTGGCTCCATGTGGACGTGTCCAGCTACGGGACTTCACCAAGACGGTGGGTAAGACTCAGGAAGGGAACATTAAACTTGGGGGGGAAATGTGTCATGAGGCCCTAAAACGGGAAGGAATTTTTCAGGTTTCACAAGTGGAAAATTATGAAAATGCAAAGGAAAAAGCCAGGCAGCCGAGGACCATGGCGTCCTCTCGGCACGGAGTGGGGGACACTGAAATTCTCACAGTTTGGCCTCGAAATGCATGGATTGGTTTTGTGAGTGTGTGGGGCGCGCTTGTTATATGGCATCTGGCATTTTAAGCATTTTAACTTAGACAAGCTGGATGACCCCAAAGGCTCCCATGTGGAAAGCGAGGTCCCCAAGGCACTAGGGTCACAGAGGGGACTTTGGGAGGTGAGGGGAGCATGAAGGGCCTGACCTCATCAGTGGAGTCATTCATTGATTGACTAACAGCTGAATAGATTGATCCATTGATTGACTAATAGCTGAATGGATTGATCCATTGATGGACTCACAGCTGAATGGCCTATTGGGAGGTCATGGAGCCTCTAAGAGGCACGGCCTACTATAAGCGAGGTCACTGGAGGCGTGGCCTAGAAGGGTATATATTGTACTGAATCTTTCCTCCCTCTCTCTCTCTCTCTCTCTCTCTCTCTCCCTCTCTCTCTCTTCCCCTCCTGGCCGTCATGATATGAGCAGCTTTGCTCCACCACTCACTCCTGCCGCCATCTTGTTCTACCTCACATGGTCCAAAGCCATGGAGCCCCAGGGACCACTGACTGACACTCTGACAACCATGACCCCAAATCAAGGTTTCCTCCTTTAAGTTGACTGTGCGAACTATTTTTGTCCCTGCAGCAGAAAGCTGACGACCCAGGTGTCTAAGAAGATGTCCCTAAGGCATGATGTCTTTCCTTGTACCCACAGAGACCCCGCAGGGAGAGCAGGATCCTACACTGTGCACGGCTTCCTGTCCAGCTGCAAAGACAGGCCGGCCGGGGAAGGCAGGTGGCTTGGGATAAAGTGTCAGGAGAAGGAAGAGTGGGGAAATGGGGTCACAATAGCTCCACCCCACTGTGGCTCCTCCTCAAAGACCCCAAACCTCACAGCCTTGTACTGAAAAACAAAATCAAGGTCTGGGTCTTTGGTGGAGTGCATGTGTGAGGCCATGGACTCCATCCCCAACACTGCAAAAACTAACGAAAACCTATGCATCTCACACAAATGGCGTGGATTTGGGGAAGTGCAAGACAGAAGAAAATGTAGGGGGGGAAGAAAAGGAGTTACATAACGAGTCAGTAAGGACTAGGGACAGGGTACAGAGTAAGATGGAGAAAAACAAAAACCAGAGAGCGGGTATGGTGGCTCACACCTGTAATCCCAAGCACTTGGGGGGCTGAGATGGATTGGGAAGATTTCTGGTGAAAATCATCCCAAACAGAAAGTTTGAGAGACCCCATCTCAACCAACAGTTTGGGTACAGTGGTGTACACCTGTGTTCCCAAGACACTGGGAAGGGTGTGATGAGGAAGATCACGGTTCCTGTCTAGCCAGACCAGAAGGTTCAGGAGACCTCATCTAAACAAGAAAGTCGGGCATGGTCGCACACACCTATAATCCCAGCCACGGCAGGAATCATGAAATGAAAGGGATTGCCGTCCAGATCACCTGGGCAAAAAGAACCTATGTGAAAATTAATCAGAGGACTCCGGGATTCACCCATCCTTGGGCAACGCTGCCCCTGGTGCTGCAAGATGGAAGTGACGAAATGCACCTCAGGCCAGGCAAAGAGTCATCAACGGGCAGAAGATTCGTCTGCTCATTTATTTCTGAGACACGGTGTCGCCGTGCACCTCAGGCTGGCCTCGAACTCATGACCCACCTCGTCAGCCTCCTGAGTGCCGGGATAAGAGGTAGATGGACAGACAGATAGATAAGATGGTAAAGATAAACGATCAAAGATCATAGATATAAAATGATGCAGATAAAATGATAGAATAGATGAATGACAGGAAGACAGAAAGACAGATGGACAGCAGGCAGACAGACACTTAGTAAATTGATACATAGGTGGACATGGATGACACAACCTAAGAAGATGGACGGGAGCATAGATGTAGACAGGGAGTAGAGATGTGCACAAACGGACACACAATCACACAGACGGACACACAATCACACAGACGGACACAAGGTAGCTACCTACGTGGGTGGATGGGTGGATGGATGGGTGGGTGGATGGATGGGTGGGTGGGTGGATGGGTGGGTGGGTGGTGGGTGGGTGGGTGGATGGGTGGGTGGATGGGTGGGTGGATGGGTGGGTGGATGGGTGGGTGGATGGATGGGTGGATGGGTGGATGGGTGGGGTGGGTGGGTGGGTGGGTGGGTGGGTGGGTGGATGGGTGGGTGGATGGGTGGGTGGATGGGTGGGTGGGTGGGTGGATGGATGGGTGGGTGGGTGGATGGATGGGTGGGTGGATGGGTGGGTGGGTGGGTGGGTGGATGGATGGATGGGTGGATGGGTGGATGGGTGGGTGGGTGGGTGGATTGGTGGATGGATGGGTGGGTGGGTGGGTGGATGGATGGGTGGGTGGGTGGATGGATGGGTGGTTGGGTGGGTGGATGGATGGTGGATGGATGGATGGGTGGATGGGTGGGTGGATGGGTGGGTGGATGGGTGGGTGGATGGATGGGTGGATGGATGGATGGGTGGATGGATGGATGGTGGGTGATGGATGGGTGGATGGGTGGATGGATGGGTGGATGGTGGATGGATGGATGGGCAGATGGGTGGATGGGTGGGTGGATGGGTGGATGGATGGGTGGGTGGATGATGGATGGATGGATGGGTGGATGGGTGGATGGATGGATGGTTGGATGGGTGGATGGGTGGGTGGATGGGTGGATGGGTGGATGGGTGGATGGATGGGTGGATGATGGATGGATGGATGGATGGGTGGGTGGGTGGATGGGTGGATGGGTGGGTGGATGGGTGGGTGGATGGATGGGTGGATGGATGGATGAGTGGGTGGATGGGTGGGTGGATGGGTGGGTGGATGGGTGGATGGATGGATGGGTGGATGGGTGGATGGGTGGATGGATGGGTGGATGATGGATGGATGGATGGGTGGATGGGTGGGTGGATGGGTGGCTGGATGGATGGATGGGTGGGTGGATGGGTGGGTGGATGGGTGGATGGATGGGTGGATGATGGATGGATGGATGGGTGGGTGGATGGATGGATGGGTGGATGGGTGGATGGGTGGATGGGTGGATGGATGGATGGATGGGTGGATGGATGGATGGGTGGATGGATGGGTGGGTGGATGGATGGGTGGATGGATGGGTGGGTGGATGGATGGATGGATGGTGGATGGGTGGATGGGTGGATGGGTGGATGGATGGGTGGGTGGGTGGATGGGTGGATGGGTGGATGGGTGGGTGGATGGATGGATGGATGGATGGATGGGTGGGTGGATGGGTGGGTGGATGGATGGATGGATGGATGGGTGGGTGGATGGGTGGGTGGATGGGTGGATGGATGGATGGGTGGATGGGTGGATGGGTGGATGGGTGGATGGATGGGTGGATGGATGGATGGGTGGATGGGTGGTGGATGGTGGGTGGATGGATGGGTGGATGGGTGGGTGGGTGGGTGGGTGGATGGATGGGTGGGTGGGTGGATGGATGGGTGGGTGGATGGGTGGGTGGATGGATGGGTGGGTGGGTGGGTGGGTGGTGGATGGGTGGGTGATGGATGGGTGGGTGGGTGGATGGATGGGTGGGTGGGTGGGTGGATGGATGGGTGGGTGGGTGGGGATGGATGGTGGGTGGGTGGGTGGATGGATGGGTGGGTGGGTGGGTGGATGGATGGATGGGTGGATGGGTGGATGGGTGGGTGGGTGGATGGGTGGATGGATGGGTGGGTGGGTGGGTGGATGGATGGGTGGTTGGGTGGATGGGTGGATGGATGGGTGGATGGATGGGTGGATGGATGTGGGTGGATGGGTGGGTGGATGGGGGGGTGGATGGGTGGTGGGTGGATGGGTGGATGGATGGGGGGTGGGTGGATGGATGGGTGGGGATGGATGGGTGGATGGATGGATGGATGGATGGGTGGGTGGATGGATGGTGTGGGTGGTGGATGGATGGGGGATGGGTGGATGGATGGATGGGTGGATGGGTGGATGGGTGGGTGGTGGATGTGGATGGGTGGATGGTGGATGGGTGGGTGGATGGGTGGATGGGTGGATGGGTGGGTGGATGGGTGGATGGTTGGATGGGTGGATGGGTGGGTGGATGGGTGGATGGGTGGATGGGTGGATGGGTGGATGGGTGGATGGTGGATGGGTGGATGGGGGTGGATGGGTGGATGGGTGGATGGATGGGTGGTGTGGATGGATGTGGGTGGGTGGTGGGGTGGGTGGGGGTGGATGGGTGGTGGGTGGATGGATGGGTGGTGGGTGGATGGATGGGGTGGGTGGGATGTGGGTGGATGGGTGGGTGGGTGGGTGGGTGGATGGATGGTGGATGGTGGGTGGGTGGGTGGGTGGATGGATGGTGGGGTGGGTGGATGGGTGGATGGATGGGTGGTGGTGGGTGGTGGATGGATGGGGGTGGATGGATGGGTGGGTGGATGGGTGGGTGGGTGGGTGGATGGATGGGTGGTGATGGTGGTGGGTGGATGGATGGGTGGATGGATGGATGGGGGTGGATGGATGGGTGGGTGGATGGATGGGTGGATGGGTGGATGGATGGGTGGATGGTGATGGGTGGATGGATGGATGGGTGGGTGGATGGATGGGTGGATGTGGATGGATGGATGGATGGGGATGGATGTGGATGGATGGATGGGTGGATGGGTGGATGGATGGGTGGGATGGATGGATGGATGGGTGGATGGGTGGATGGATGGGTAGATGGATGGACGAATGTACTGATGGATACCCCACAGATACAGGTAGGAAGGTGGATGGAAGGGTGGATGCCTGTGTTTATAGATGGCAGACACACTGACAGAAGGGAGCAGTTCATTTGGTTTACATGAGCAGATGTTAGAATTATCATTCTCTCCACCTTGGACACAGGTGCCTGACACTTGGTGGGGAGGCCTGTGCAGAGCCATAGACAAACTCCCCAATTCCTGCCTTTTTCTACATCAAAGTGAAGATGTCCAGGTAAACACTTGTGTCTTGGGCTCTCATGGACTCGGAAGGACTTGGAAAAGAGCTTTTGCTTCAGCTGGGGGTCAACTTAGGGGTCCACCACGAGTGTATTTGTAACGCACTTACAAGCAAAATAAAAATGCAAAGGGTGAAAGGTATGTAAGCATGAGTCCCAGCACATGTGAAGGTCACTGGCCAGTGTCCCCGGGCCCTCCAGACCTGACCTGCTTAAGCCTCCATTGCCAGACATGAGAGCCTTTGTCGATACAGCCATTTGGGACAGTGGGTCGCCGTGTCCCCTGCACACAACGCAGGCTCCTTGCACCTGTAACTCTGGTCCCTCTCTAGGTAGGGAATTCAGCACAGTGTGGAAAGAAGACATCACGAATGATGCCCAAAGCTTGCATTTGTAAGCATGGAATTGTGGCTTTAAGTTTCTGCTGGGACTGTCTGGAGCAGAGGATGAACTCGAGCCCTGAGTCACCAAGACACCACTGCAAAAACACCGGCAGTGTCCAGAATGGGAATTCGGGAGAGAACACATCATTGCCTTCCTGGGACTCTGCACGCTCCCAAGTTACTGAATTGTTTTTGTTTTAAGATCTGATCTCACTGTGTTGCCCAGGCTGGCTTTGAACTCAATTTTCCTGCCTCACCCAACAGTGGCTGTGATTACAGGCGTGCCCTACCATGTGTGACTCCTAATCTGTACTTGGTGGATGTTGCTTTATGCAATCTATGTAATTCTGTATGTTGTTCCAGAAGGGACAATGCTGGGGGGGTTAATGGTTTAGTTAAGGGAGTCCAGGCCTTTAAAGATGGCGACAGACATTCGCGAGCGGTCGTTGTACGAGTGTGTGTGTTTTCTGTCATTGGACCCAGGTTCAATTCCCACCCCACCCACGGTAGAGTCAGAGGCAGGAGGGGAATGGCCGACCCCAAGGAGGTCGGGGTGCACTCACCCTGAAAGCATCTCAAAGACGAGGACGCCCAGCGCCCACCAGTCCACGGCCCTCCCATGACCCTTGCTTTGGATGACTTCAGGAGCCAGGTACTCAGGGGTTCCACAGAGCGTCCACGTCCTATGTGGGGAACAGACAGAACCCCAGAGAAATCAGCCATTGCAGTAACTCCACTGATCAACTAAAAAAAGTCCAACCACTAAGAATCCCACATGTGCTCCGTGTGTAAATTCACCTGTGCTCAGCGTGTGACGTGAAAATGCAAAATAGGCCAAATTCAGAAAACTCTGAAGCCACAGTGGAAAACGTCCGTCTCAAGCACGAAGTTATTTTAACACAAGGCAAGCTTATGTGTAAGGCGTCCACAAAAACAAAAACCCACAAACGGATCCCCGTGTGCACGGGAGGCCCGGTCCCACTAAGGCTCCTTATTCTATGGGGGAGGGGCTATTTGAAAAACCTGAACAAATCCAAAATCTGTGAGATTATTGCAATGGCTGACTTCTCTGGGGTTCTATATACAAATGCATATATATACAGGCATTTTATTTTTATATTTTACTTACCTATGTATATGCATATATACAAAAGTCACGGTGACACGCGCTAACGTGTGATTAACATGCACGAATGATTACACTTTTCAATGTAAAAAGAACTCACTCAGTCATCCCACAAGATGCATAAGGACCTACAGGTCAACCCGTTATGCAACAGTTAACCCCAGGAGAAGAAATCCAAAATGAGGGTGAATTTTCTCTGCACTTCACCTTCAAAAACCTGAAGGATTTTAACCCTTTTGGTGGTCCTTGTGACTCAGCTAAGCTGTCACGCTAATTCCATAACCAGTCTTTGGAAATAGCCAAAGGCTGGCTGATGGTTAAGGGGCACTGGAATTTTTGTCTGTTTTTTAGTTCCAACAGGTACTTTAGAAAAAGGACTTTCCTCCAGGCATGAATATGGCAAGCTTTGCAAACATCTCTGGCTTCTGGCACCACCTGCAGGACAGTGGCGGGAAGTGCCACCAGGAAGAGCCAAGAGGATTTGAAGCCGTTTGCTATTCTCTTGTCCTTTATCTATTTTTAGGATCTGAGTCTTCAAAAGGGTTGCGGTGTTTGCATGGAGGGCGTTCATGCCTGGGTTGCCACCTTCTTTTTTTTACTCCCCGTCGTTTCTTCCCTAACGCTCTTTTTATTGTAACATAACTTTGCATTTTCCATCCAATCCTGTGCATCCGAGATTGTGTGTCATCATTGAACACCAGGACTCTCGTAAAATAAGAGGAAGTCCCCCAAACCTGTACTCCAAGTGCACACAAGGCAGCCTGCTGCCTTCTTCCCTTAGGATCAGCCATGTTCTGCCCGGCTGAAAGAATTTCAAGCAAAAAATAGTACAGTATAAATGTTCTATAGGTCGTTGTCCAGTTCTGCAGGGGATGCAAGGGTTTTCCATGTGGCCCTCGAGTGCATCTGTTCACCTGTGGTTATTTGTCCACCGCCTGCACCAGACTTGTTCTTGGACTCCAGTGTCCAGGCTTGACCCTGACGCCCAGCCTGCAAGACTTTGACCTTAGACTGCAGCCTCCAGGGCTATACCTTTTGGACTCCAGGAGTTGACCTTGGTGTCCAGCCTGGAGGACTTGACCTTGGACCAGGACTTGACCTTAGACTCCAGCCTCTAGGACTCCACCTCACACAGCTCTCCTCACCACAGGCCGAGAGCAATGGAGCCATGTGACCATGGACCAAAAGCCTCCAAACCCATGACCCAAAAAATCGACCTTTTCTCCTTCTTTTGTCACAGTGATGGAAATCTTCAGCCCCCAAAAGAACTGAAACTGGGGCTAGAGAGACATTTTACACCATGTTCATAAGAGCACTATCCATGACACCCAAAGCAGGAAACAACGCAAGCGCCCGTGCCTGGATGACCGGACGACCAAAGTCCGGTCAATTTGCGCAGTGGAATAGTATGCAGCCATGAAAAGAAGGACTTCTGACACTGGCTCCAACGTGTTGGTAAGTGAAACAAGTCAGTCACAAAAGGACAAAGTCTTAGGATTCCCTAGAGTTGTACGGTTCACAGAAACAGATAATTAGGATGGTGGGGTCTGAGGATTGGGAAGGGACATGGCGGACTTAGTACTTTATAGGGACATTTCCGTTTGGATGGACGTAGAGGTGGGTGTCCCTAATGGAAAGACAGAAGCAGGTTGAAGGTAAAGAAAGTCTGGAGAAGATAAAAGGGACCTCTCTTGGCAAAAGATGGACTCCATGAGGTGCACTTAGGGCTGGGGACTAGCTCAAGGGTGAGCATTTGTCTGGCGCTCATGGGGACACTCTGCGAGGCAGGTCACCCAAGTGTCCCCATGAGGGAAAACAAGGACACTGTCCCAAAAGTCCCCTCCCCACCCTGCAGCCATGACAAAGAAGGTGCAGGTTGCACGATGACTACAGAGCACACATTGCACCGAGGCCTGGTGCAACCAGTATGGCGCTTGCTGCATGCAAACCAGCAGGGCGGAGAGGCTGCACCATGGATGCAAAGGTGGACCTCGGCTTAGCACTGGGGGCTGGGCTTTGCTCTTCCAGACAACCTGAGCTGAGCCGCGGTCATCGTCACCATCCTTTTTCCCTCTTTTGGGCTGCGTCTGTCTGCATGCAATCCAGTTGTGCACGGATTCGGGAAGACAAAAAGTGGATTAGAGTGACTATTTGAAAGTCTAGTACAGGGGCCGCCTCAGACGCTGACAGTGTCACAACCGTCTGTGACACGAGAGCAATGGAGGCTGCAGAGGATGCAAGGAAGAAGGGAAGCGAAAGGTGAGGTCTTCTCCCAGAATACAGGGGGAGAACTGTCCTCTCTGCAGCCACCTTCTGCACACTGGTCCACATGCGGAGGGGTTCTTCCCGCCTGGACTGTGGTGCAGGAGCTGAGCTGATCTGGAAGTGAACTTCTGGACAAATGCCAGGAGCTGCCATCTTGAGGTCTGCCTTCAGGAACGCCTGTGTCACAGCGTTTGGGGACTGTGACAAAATGCCTGAGGTGACCTCGGTTAGAAGGAGGGAAGGGTGGGGGTGGGGGTCGT